ACAAAGTAGATGTCAAGAGAAGGCAATGATACAAGGAGCAACATAAGCAATATCATAGGCATCTCCAAGGAACGAGGAATAAAAAACATAGATATAAGAAGATATGGATAATGACTAGAGGTAGTAGAAAAATACGAATATGTGGGAACTACGATTAGTAAAAATGGCAAAATAGATCAAGAGATATGCTATTCTATTGCATATTGCTATTGCAAAAGAAAGTGAGTCTATTACTAAGTAAAAAAACAACTAATCAGTACAGTAAATTTAGACACAAACCAAAAATAGAAGATGAAGTATCTGCGAAAATAGTAGAAAGATCTAAAAGAGACAGAGTACGCAACAAGAGCGTCAGAGAAGAACTTACGTGCTATAATAGAAGAGAAATAACTGAAATTCTATCAAAAAAAAGTTTAATATGAAACCAGAGAGAAGAAGAGGATGGGAATGACCAAGAATCCAGTGGGAAGAAGTAATAGAAGAAATGACACTGAAATGCGCAGAATAACTAGAAATGGAAGTACCTAAAGAATAGATCAGAGAAACAACATTGTAAGGTAGAATGGGGGAATGAATCGCAAGCAACCTCGGCTGTCATCATACAAAACTTTAAATTCTCCGGTGTGACTTAAAGCGAGGTCGTTTGCAGATAAGATGCTGCAGTATGTAGTAACCAGTTTTTTGGCGAATATGCTATTAATTCCAGCGCTCAGCCGAAAACGTCCTTGGTTTAAGCAGGCTAAATCATAAATTCTCCGACCTTAGTTTTGGTGAGGTTGCTTACGATCACAACACTGCAATGTGTTGGCTTGTTGCGAGTTCTTACTTATAGCATATCAATTTTCTACATCTACATTAAAATGTTTCTTATCCTGCCTCAATTGATACATCTTTCATCACATTTAACTAAATTTCTGAAATCTCCCAATACTGTTCCAGTCTGCATTAACATTGCCCGTAACTTATGATAGACATATGTATTGCACAACTTTTAATATTCTCAATCAATACTATTATGTATGTTACATTGACCTTATCCTCCTTCAACATATGACGCATCTTAGCCGCAAACGGTTTCAACTTATTATTGAATCAGGCAAAATTTTTCATTCTCTGTTCCAAGTTTGGCCGAAGTCACGTTTTTTTCGATCGAGATTCTCCACTTAAAGTTTTGACTAGTTTCTGGTTGACTGACATTAATTATTACATTGTACATCAAGTTGCAGCTTTTCTAGCAAACCAATTATACCAATTATACTCTTTTATTCAGGCAGTAAATCTCACAGCCGTTCCAACCAACATTAAAAAGGTGTCAAGTTCATGAACCTTGTTATATTAGGTCCTATACGTATATTAATGTGCAAGATGCTGACACGCGCGTGAATTATTATTATGCATTGTATGCCTATTTTCACCGTATGATTTATGTGCAAATTATGAGTCTTCTTTATGATATCTAGTTAGTAATCATTTTGCACCAGTGAAAGCAACAAATCATATAAATCATAGTTATTTATACATATTAGTATAGAAAAAACGTTGCAAGTAATCGATAAGCGATTAATTATATTATTGTAATCAATGATAATGAACACATATTCATCACAGCTAAAGCCCACACAAAGCTCCTTCACTTCAGACAACATTTCATCCATGACAGCATTGGGGTTACAAACGGTTAATCTCGCTATTTGTCAGGTCCAATAAATTCAGTTTTAGTTGGAATTGAATTAGACTAAAGGTCATTTTACTTTGATGTATATTCGTTTGTGTTCTGTTGAACATAAAAAGCATTTTTTCAGCATTTAGCTCGATATTTAGATGTTTTTAAAATAACTTTAACATTGAAAGCTGCAACATATAACAATAACTATTATTATTAATAATTTAAAGCTATAACCCGTTTTGGAATTTAATTGAAAAATCCGAAAAATCACTAAAAAATTTATTGGATATCATTTTTTTTATCATAATGACGGATATATTTGTCATAATTTCTTAATGAATAAAATTTAAAATATTAAAGACAAACTTGACCAACCCGTTAGCAATGCGTTTATACTTCGCAGCCATTGTGTTATATACAATAACTTTTTTAATGAATGATTTGATCATTAATGGAATTTAAATTTAACTCAATTCGTTTTGATTCCGTATAGTGTGAATTCATTCTCATCGGGTCTTCTTCTTGGAAAATATTTAAGGTTCAAATTAGAAACACGATGTTGTATCTTGCTTTTATTACTAAGAATTTTAAATGTGCATTTAATCTTTGTGATTTGCTAAAATTATAGTTCAAACAGAAGTCAAATACCTAGGGTAGGTAATAGTAGACAGTAAATTAAACTGGAAATCCCACATTGCCAAGGTGAGGAAAAGGCTATCATTGCTTAGCAGATCTGTCGTAAGCTTCTTGAAAGGAGCCACGAATGACTTACTGGGCCTATGTGGCAATAATCAGACCCCTAGTGGCCTATGCTTCATTGATTTGGTGGACAAAAACAAAATCCCAAGACAGCGCAACAACTTGATTCATCCTTATATTATATTCAGTCATATAAGGTAAGCTCAAAAGTGGAGCCTTGATACACAGATTCTTCTAAGACATTTAGATTCGGAGTAGATATGGGCATCAGAGACAAGCTCGGATACAATCATTTTTAAATTAAAGTTCCTGCCATAAACTTCTGCACCATTTTGAACCTTGAGCAGGACAGAAAGGGGCAACGATTCAGGTCTACACGTGTAAATCCGCACTGGTCAAAGAATGTACCAATAACCTGGGAAAACTCGTCAGGGGTAATGAAGTTATCCTATGATAAGTTACAAGCCACGAAGACATTATGGACACCTTTTAGACACCAGGTAATTAATACATGGGAGGATTCAAAGGTAACCTTGCGCTTGAATGAACTTCCAGGACACGCACAGGCGAAGAGTATGATAACTCCGTCCCAAAAGAAAACCAAAGAGATTTTATGCCTCAGTAAATGGGTTTTAAAGTCGCTCCCACGTTTCCTGACAGGCCACACATTCCTAAATTACCACCTCTTCAAAGTTGGACAAGCTGAGGATCAAACTTATCGACTTTGCAACGATAACTCGGAGATTGCTGAACATATTTTGTGTGACTGCGTCGCCTAAGATACAACATTTTTGGTAAGCTTTGCGTAACGCATATTGACATAAAAGAACAAGACTTTGGTGCAATACTAAGGTTTATCAAAGACCTAGATCTGGCCTAAACCTTTGATGAGCGTAAGTTACAATAGATCTTATAGGTCGTCCCTCAGCCCGGCAGCAACAAAAAGAAATGATACTTGAATATTTTTTGTTCCAATATTAAATTTGCTCCGTCACCAATAAATATATGAGGCAATTTAGGATCCATTGTCTTTGAAGGCATTTTTGTTTAATTATTGTTCTATCTGTTTCTTCAAACCTGGTGTGTATAAAGAATATTTCTTTGTTTAGTGTAGACTTTAATCTTATAATAGATATAGCTTCACACGTGCCTTTAATATACCTAGTAATTGATATATACAGGGTGATTCAAAAAACCGCTGACATACTTCTAGAGTAGATAATTCATGAAAAATTAAGATGAATAGTCTTAATGTATACGAAGCTTAAACCATTAAAATTGTAGCCACTGGCTAGATATTTACAACCGAATTAAACCTTTTATTTCCAAATAAAGAGCTGGAACGATCAACTGTAATTTTTAAATAAGATAAACAAGGATCAAAACAAATCTAATATTTTCGCAGGAGTGAGAGAAAGTCCAAAATGTTAAGATTTAAACAGTTATTTAGGTTTCTTCGTGTTGATTGTATAAACATAAATATTGCAGGAGGTTACTAATATTTCGATGAATAACTGGCATCACTTTTAATGAATGTTGCAATTGTTGTGATTTTAAAACAATTTTTTATTGACTAAGTAAATTGTATCGAATAATATGCAATTTATAAACTTTTTATGTCGTTATTTCGATAAATATTTAATAATCTAACCTTATTTTTAGCAACTATTTTTTTTTGCCAAGTTTTAAAACAATGTTTTATAAATTATGTAAATTTGCATAGAAAATTTTACCTCAAAGAAACTTTCACTTTTCTTATTCTTTAATGAATGTAAGTAATGATAAATACTAGATTATTATTAAAGTTCTGTTACCAAAAATTAAGTCAAATCTTTGATGACTCATAAAAAAATTCATCAATGTGATGATCGAGTTTTTTTATAACAAAAATATTTTTTAAAATAAAATCTATTTTTAATTTATTTGATGTTGATGGCAATTATCCAAAGGTATCAATCATCACAACATTTAAAATTATTCAACGTGCCAAGATCTTTATTATTATAACTCGTATTGTTTAATCGTGGAGTTTAATTTTATGCCCAAGTTTTGCAATAAAACCAATGATATAACTTCCTATTGGGAAAAGTAATGAATTAAACCGCAATTTAATGCTGCAAAACTGAAATTTGAAATTTAAATCGTCTTTTTGTCGCGTTAATCGCTGTATTATGTCGTTTAAATCGTGCCCGTTCCAACTCGTACCAGGAACCAAAGCGCATTTCGAACCGCTTAACAGTCTCTCAAAGAAGAGAGACCAAAGTTTCTCTTTTCGCCGGTCACACGCACGTTTTGACTCTCTCCGTTCAAACACCAACTCATTTCTTTTTTTAAAAAATATTAAATTTTGTTCCAAATAACATTTAATCAGCAGAATTTATAATTAAGCTAATCAGAAAGTGATACTTAAATAAAGATGAATTCGTAAAAATACCTAATCATGTGTTTGATGGATGCTTATTACAATACGATAACCACATAGATAATGATATTATTTGCTTTATCTATTGCATTTTGTTTTATTGTGAATCGACCTACCTGTTTTTTTTTTGTTAATTATTTTTGGTTGAGAATTTTTTTTAACAAATCACGATTGATCATATAATCACAGTTAATAAAATGTACTAATACTTACTTTTGTTGTAATACAATGTTCCAGTCCAACTTTAAACCAGTCTACAAAAATTTTTTGTAGCAGGAATTTTGTTAAAACCACTCTATAAAAATAAATTCACGAATATAAAGTTGTAAAACGTTCCGACGATTCAATTTAATAAATTGGATGTAGGTACTATTTTTGGTTCCTTATATCTATATCAAAAAACGGTCGATTCGAAAAACGCGAATAAAATAGCAGGAAACGTGCGCGCGCTCGTCCTGCTCGCCACGTACTGACGTAAAACGTGCACCACGGGCGCAATGATCGTCGTCGTGCCAGAGCAGCAAACGGCGCAAGCAAGCAAGAGCACCAACAGGAGGAGGAGGAGCAGCAGCAGCCGGCAGGAGCAGCAGGTTGCCCCGGCAACGCCGTGACGCCAGGAAAAACGAAATAAACCGTTATTGTGTGTACTTCGTTCGTTCCTGCACACGATCATCCATACCTAATACCACAGTAACTCTTCGTGTACTAGTTTTTAATATTTCAATTTATGATTGTGCTGGAAAAAATCAAAAATGTTTCTTTATAATTTTCTTATAAAATATTAGATTTTGAAACAATATTTACCACAAAAATTTATTACAAATTTAAAAAAACTTGTTGCACAACAATGAACAAATTATAAATTATGATGTTCATACTACTTTATATAAAATTGATAATATCAGGTTTAATAATTTTACTAAACAAATAAAGTTTATTATATTATAGAGCTAAAAGCAAACTGAATCAAAATGTTATAACCACTCACCATGTAAATTTGTGAGTTTGTTTATCGAAGGAGACTATACACATAAATCTGGAAAATGATGATATACTGGGTGATATGCATCAACGTAAACAAATCAATATTCCTATCAAATATTCATTCTGGCAAAAATCTGCATGCTGCGTAATTTAGTCTACGTTTAATGTTTTTTTTGACCTATGTGAAGTTAGCCCCCAATTAGATAGGGTTTTACATGTATAGTATTTTGATTATAACAAGAGAACCAGTGAACCGATTTCGATAAACAATGTCTCATTCAAAAGCTCAATCCTTGGCCAATACGAAAGTGGAAATGCCCGATTCGAAATCTCTCTCGAATTCCGCTAAAACGCCAAAATAATGCGAAGGTACACGAAAATAACACAAATATGACCTTTTTTAGGTGGTGATAACTCGTAAACGATGTACCTGATGATCAAGATCTATACGTCATTCGATTCGTCGTAGTTTCTTCTATCGAAATCACAAAATACCCGATTTCAATTCTCTCTCGTTAACCTTGTACAGCCCTTGGAATGACACCGTGTTCGGCTCGTTGTTTATGCACATATGAACGCCCGAAAGTCTAGCCCCCAATATAAAAAAATTTATTTAACCTATATCGACTATAATTAGAGAACGGTTTGACGGATTTTAATGTTTTATATCTCAATCGATAGCTATCGCCTGGCTGAATGCGGTTGTCGATATGCCCGATTCTAAATATTTAAGGATTTTGATTAAAACACAAAAAACCAATTAATCAAACACATCAATTATCTCCTTAACTAATTGACCAATTTTAGTCATTAACATCTCGATCGAAAATATGATCTACAATGAATGCGAAGGTGGAAATGCCCGATTTCAAAATTTACTAATTAATTTTGATTACATTCGCTATAACTAAAGAACGGTTTGACGGATTTTAATGATTTATATCTTTATGGTTTATCTGAAAGCTTACGTCTGGCTGAATGCATATGTCAAAATGCCCGATTCGAAATATTTAAGAATTTTGAATAAAACACAAAAAATTAATTAATCAAATAAGTCAATTATTATCTCCTTTATTATTTGACCACTTTTAGTCGTCAATATCTCTATCGAAAGTATGATCCATGGTGAATGCGAAAATGGAAATGCCCGATCTCTAAATTTGCTAATTAAGTACGTACAATTGTTTAAACGACTCCAGTGACTTTACTGCCTGGAAGTCTTACTTACATAAAAAATAATTTTTTATAAACGGATTATTACTATAGAACAACTTAATGTGAAAATGTTTGAAATCTTCTACTAATCATAATAATGTATGTAAACAATGGAACAAAGTAATAGACTGATTTAAAATGTATTTGTACTAAAACAGAAAATCTTTTTTCATTTTTGGTTTTAGTATTTCTACCTTTAGTATAACTTATTGTTGTTCTTATTAGTTTTCTACTCTTCTTTTTTAAAATTTAAATTTTTAGCTGTATATAGTTTCACACAAAAAGCGCCCCAACCCATAACTCTGTTGTTTATATTGAAATATAAGGTATGCGAAGTTAGCCCCCAATTTTTTTAGCCCCCAATTAGATAAGATTTTACATGTATAGTATTTTAATTATAACAAGAGAACCAGTCAACCGATTTCGATAAACAATGTCTCATTCGAAAGCGTAATCTTTGACCAATATAAAAAAATCAATTTAAACTAAATCGACTATAATTAGAGAACGGTTTGACGGATTTTAATGTTTTATATCTCAATTAAAAGTATGTGTCTGAAATATTTAAGGATTTTGATTAAAACACAAAAACTATTAATCAAACACATCAATTATCTCCTTAACTAATTGACCAATTTTAGTCATCAACATCTCGATCGAAAGTATGATCTACAATCAATGCGAAGGTGGAAATGCCCGATTTCAAAATTTACGAATTACCTGCGTACGGCTATTGAAATGACCGACTCCCTAGCCCCCAAACTTTCGATTGAGATATAAAACATTAAAATCCGTCAAACCGTTCTCTAATTATAGTCGATTTAGTTTAAATTATCTTTTTTATATTGGGGGATAGATTTTCTTTTGCAGGAAGTGTTAAACATTGAAGTTCGATTAGTGCGTTTTATTTTAGTAAAATGACGTAAGTTTTATTTGAAATGTTTCGAGAAAACGAGTAATTTTTTTATTGAAAGGTTGAGTTTTAAAACCAAAAAACGATTTAAAACCGCTTCGGCCCGTCGTCTTTACATTTTTTGTTTATTCACCTCCAGTATTCCTTCTTCCCACAATAAATTAAGGAGGGGATGTTTGGAAGTTGATTCGCTAATAACGCATTTTAGTTGATATGTGTGCATTTAAGGGTGATAAAGTAGTTTAGAAAAATAAAACTTATTACTTAAATTAAGTGATAAATGCGTGCTATATTTATGCTAAGTGTTAGGTGATATTAGTGATGTGATATAGAACATCATGGGATTGCTATTTTATGGATGTTGAAGGATATGAAGGTACCGTATTCATTCTTTTTTTTTTGTCACAATACATTAAGTTATCTTTTCTTTCCAGCTGAGCTTCGAAGTAAAATCTAAGGGAAACAACATCTATTCGGTGAGTCGTTTTCAATTTTATTAATTGACCAAAACATATCGGGAAAATTCGCGATNGGAGAGGTCAAGGCATCTGTGGATCTAAAATTGAATGGCGTTAAGCTAAATATTACTGATGAGTCGCGAAACCTGGGAATCACTATTGATTCTACTCTTAGATTTCGTAAACATGTCGCTTCTCTTCTCCAGCGTGCTTATGCGACGTTGAAGCTACTATATGGTAATAGACAACTGCTTAATCAGCGTCTGAGAGCACAGCTTTGTGATGCACGTTAGACGTTAATCCATAGAATGAGTTCATATGTGTATGTACAGGTCAACTCTGGCAAAATTATATATTGAGGTATCTACCTGAGTTTAAGTTTTCATGGTAGATCAACTATATGACAAAATTTTTACTTAAAAGGGAATCTTCTTTGAGAACATTCAGAGAAATACGTAAACTTCATCGGTCTAGATAACATTTCGAACAAACAGCAATTATTTAATTTTTCTAAATATCATCGACAAAATTCTAATCTTAGATTGGCATCACCGACACGTAAATGCTTTGTATGGTTTATATTTATTTTTCTTTAATATTCCGGAGTAGCGGCATTTGCGTCAGACGTCTTGTTCAATTTCTCTGCAAGATGTTGACGGATTTATCGCAACTGAAGCTAACACATTGACTTCATCCTCTTACAGCTCATTTTGGTATGTTTTTGCACGTGGTTTCGTAAAGGACCAAAAATCAATTAAATTTTGTGCTGGGCTTCTTTGCGGATACCTTGTGAAATATAATTCCTCGGCTAACGTCGCATTCTTATCTGATAACATATAGCATTCCATCATGTTACATTTCATAATTTTGAAAATTCATTGTAAAGTTTTATTCANTTTTTTTTTGTCACAATACATTAATTTATCTTTTCTTTCCAGCTGAGCTTCGAAGTAAAATCCAAGGGAAACAACATCTATTCGGTGAGTCGTTTTCAATTTTATTAATTGACCAAAACATATCGGGAAAATTCGCGATTTGAACTTTGTAATTTTTCCAGATAAAAACCGTTTGAACGCTACTCCTTGTATTTGTGCTTGAAAAACAGTACAATTCCATAAATTTTTCACTCCAAATAATACTAGTATAATTCAAACTTTTTAATGGGGGAGTCTCTTTTTTTTTTGTATCAAATAAAATGATTTCTTTGGGAATTTTTGGCTACCAAATTATGTGGTATTATGTGGCGAGCCGTTGGGGAGGTCAAGGCATCTGTGGATCTAAAATTGAATGGCGTTAAGCTAAATATAACCGATGAGTCGCGAAACTTGGGAATCACTATTGATTCTACTCTTAGATTTCGTAAACATGTCGCTTCTCTTCTCCAGCGTGCTTATGCGACGTTGAAGCTACTATATTATGGTAATAGACAACTGCTTAATCAGCGTCTGAGAGCGCAGCTTTGTGATGCACGTTAGACGTTAATCCATAGAATCAGTTCATATGTGTATGTACAGGTCAACTCTGGCATTATGTGCTGGTGCTCCGTCACATTGAAAATATATCAGTTGAGACATATTTAATGGTAAATTATCGACCAAAGGCTCAATGTGCTGCCTTAATATATTGAGGTATCTACTTGAGTTTAAGTTTTCATGGTAGATACTATACGCCAAAATTCTATTATTTAAAAGGCATTTGCGTTAGACGTCTTGTTCAATTTCTCTGCAAGATGTTGATGGATTTATCGCAACTGAAGCTAACACATTGACTTCATCCTCTTATAACTCATTTTGGTATGTTTTTGCACGTGGTTTCGTAAAGGACCAAAAATCAATTGAATTTTCTGCTTGGCTTCTTTGCGGATACCTTGTGAAATATAATTCCTCGGCTAACGTCGCATTCTTATCTGATAACATAT